CATAAAAACGTAAAAATAATTAAATTGTCATAATTGACGATTTATTAGGATAAAGTGTTAAAATTTCCGATTGGCTAACTATAAAATATACGTCGAACAATATTAAGGTAAAATTACACATATAATAAATAATTTGTGAAGCTAATCAAAGTAAAAAATAAAATTCGTAAAATGATTTTCGGTAACGCATCTGTCTGTGACTATAAGGGATCGCCTAATTGTGAGTGGTCATTTTTTCCTATAGTGTTACATTTTATATTCTTTTAAAGTATAACAAGGGCTGCATATGTCACCCTGTAAAAAATTTTATTCGTAATTTCTGTGCATTTACGGAAAATAATTGGATAATTTCCATGTTTTGAGGCGTGAATATGATAACATTTACAGAAATAACATGGAATAGGAAAACGGAATAAATTTTTTATAGGGATTTAATTAATAATAATTTTATCAATTCAAAATTTTATTTTTAAAGGCAAAAAAATATGGATGCTCTAATTTTATAAATTTTTTATAAAGTACTTCTGAATAAAACTTTAATATAAATAGATAATATAATTTTATATGGCTATTTTTACTAGTCACGGACTAACCGTATTATAAATAAATGGTTCTGTTGCAAAACAATAAAAAATTTTATCCGTAAGGATGCATATTTATTTATTATGACTTGTATCCATTTATTTATTTTGGTAATAATTCTTTGTCATTTGACAATTAAATGACATCTTAGCACATGATTTTAATTGAATTGTGCTGACAACGTTAATGTCAAATGACTCAGGTCTTGATACTGTAAGTGAAATAACAGTAAATAATTTCTATTCTTTAACATTAAGAATTTGAATGAAATTCCTAGCAGCACTTATTAATGATTGGATAAATACTTTAATACATTTTTTGTAAGAATTAACCTTAAATTTATATAAATTAGAGCTTTGGATAACCAACGAGCCGAAATTGTATATTTGGCCAGAGTTGAAACCTGGATGGCTGGAATTTCCCGTTTTAACCAAAAAATTCTTAAATCAGCTAATAATTTTAACCGGCTCCAAGCTATAAAATTATAAAATGGCCTTTATTCCAGAACGTTAATAGCCGTAATGAATAATATCATCATTTTATAATTATTATTATTATGAGCCAACATAAAAACAAGAGATAAACCAGAAATTGTAACACATAATTCATAATCGTACGTTCCTGAAAATAAGCACCGGTTTTTATTACAGGGAGGCTGCTCAATTCAGAACTCAACCTTCCGTTCAGGTGATCTTGGATCATTATACCGAATATTCGGTAAAACAAGTGCCCGAACTCAATTTTTAAAATGTATTTTTAAAAAAATTATTAATGAAATATATTTTGTGTAGAGATGCTTGTAAAACTTCTCTACTAATAATTAAATTTTATAAAATTTTATGCTGTGCACTTAATGCTGGCCAACTTAATTTAATGCTGGCCGGAATTAGGATAAAACGGATAATCGCGAATAAATAACATGACTTCGGTATATTAATATCGCGAAATTTATAATAAAATCGGTATATTGTGATAAAATTAATTATAAGTGGATTTGGTTTTTAAGAAGTTATGAGTCAATATCGGTTCGTTATATCGAGGTCTAACTGTATTTCGTCAAATGTATTTTTCATACCGTAAATTTTTTTTTTTTTTTAAAACCTCGTTTCTATTTTAGAAAATATACACAAATATCACATTTTAGTAACATTTGTAAGATTTTTTTATATTGCGGTTTTACGTTTTTATGTCTGATGTTTATTTTTTATCTGTTATGGCTTTAAAACGGATTTTAAAACTTGACACAAATTTTATTCTTAATAACGTTTCAGTCTGTTTAGAAAATTTATAGAAGCTTGTTATATTACTACGCAATTTCGCAACCTTACAGTAAAGAAGTATTGAATTTTGCTTTTTATTTCACTTTATTTAATAAGTAATCTTATAAGGATAACCTTTTCAATGAACCTTGTTATTTCTTGATTTGCGAAGTCATTAATCACTAATTTTAGTTATCATCATTTAGATTTGGAGAACACGTGATCACAATTAAAAACCACAAACTTAAATTGGAAATGAATTCATACATTTAAAATAGAGATTTTAAATTGTATTTTAAACTATTATCATTATGCATGTAGTTTTGTGGTTCAACGGAGAAAATTTTTTTTGTATTAATATGATAATTAAAAAAAATAACTATATTAACCAAATTAAAAAAAAAAAGTTATATTTCTAGTACGTCAGGGTAAGATCATTCATTTTCATCTTCGCATTACATTCATAATCATAAGATATTTTCTTAACGTTCTACAGTCTTCCTTACATTGAAATACGATTCGAGCAGGTTTTAAAAAAATATTCAGGATTACCGATTTCCCGGACAGATAATTAATGAAACGTTTAGTAGTTTGGTTAGTTTGTAAAAAAATATTTGATATCATATACTGAAATTACGGTATTTATAAAATAAATGGTCTGATCTTTCCAAAAAGATTTTTCTCTTATTTTGGTATGTCAGAGACCTACTGCAGGTACGGGAAATCTGCAGCCAAACATATCTTTTTTTTTTCCGGAGCAGAAATATAATTTCATAATTCGAAAATTCCATACAATCCTTTAAAAATATCATTTAAAAACCCGTTATACAATTCGGCAGGTTTGTCGATGTACTTATATTCTTTTTGTTTTCTTATTGTACTATAAAAGAAAAGAATATGAAAAAAAAAACAAAACAAAAAAAAAAAAAAAGAAAGAAAGGAATAATAAAAGAAAGCTTTCAAACTTTGTATCGAAAGCTTTGTTTGCCATAATCAATAATAGGGTCACCCTTTGTGCTCGGATGTGCTTTGTTACACTATTAACCCATAAACAGTGCTCACGTGATGAGCACATGAGTGTATTATTTGGAAAATGAGAATTACAAATTGAAATTTTAATAATAATAAATTGTTTTATTTTTCACGTACTTTATGAAGTTTTTAGGTCTATCATAAAATTTCGATTACCAGTATAGCTTATATCGGTGATTTTATAATTAATATGATATCTTAGTTCAAATCTGTTTGATTTATTTGATGCAATTTCAACACAGCTTTATATTTATATTTTTGAATATATATATATATATATATATAATAGTAAATAATGATTTAGAACCAAATATCTTTAAAAACAAACGTTACAAAATGCTACGCAAATTAAGGAGAATAACCAATAATATTAGACTGACGTGCTCGCTGATCATTCTGCTCGTAATTAATAATTTTAAAAAATAAAATTCACGGTTTCTTCTTTTTTACAATTAATAAACCCTTCTTCACTCTTTAAGAAATTACCCTTTCTTGTCCGGAAATATATTTATTTTGTTTTTCTTTATTTTTATTTTTTCTTTATTTTTTTAAAAAATCATTGTATAAACTCATTGTTTTACATCCACCAATCAGACGATTATTAAATACAGATTATTACTTATTAAGCTGAATTAATAATTTTATTAATTTAATTCGGTTTGTTTCCTCTTTCGAGAGAAGACCAATAATGACAAGTAACATAAATTTGAAACGATTGATTTTTTTTGCTGAATATGAATTTACTTTAAGTATTCGTTTAATGATATTACCGTATTATTGGAATAATTGAATATCAAAGCCACTCACGTAATGAAATGCATCATGTGGTTAGGTGGTTGCAAGCAATGCAAGCAAAGTTAATCTTCACTTTGACAATGAACATCGTTATTTAATGACATGTATGAACTATTTTAAAATATACGTTTAAATATCACAAAATATTTAGTGTACAGTAACTTCCGAAAATGATTGAAAAATATATTTATATATATTATCTTCATTATTCATTCATTCATTTTTAACTAAAATAAGTTAAGTAAACTGTATTGAATTTTAAGATACCGATATACTGTAACTTTATTGATCCTGATGACCCTATAACTTTATAAATATGAGAAAAGATTTTTTTTTCGACGTTCGCTATACTTAACTTAAAGAAAATAGAGCGTGCAATGTTTAAAGTGGTTAAAACTTGAAGATTTCACTTGAAGATTCTTGTGTCAAAGGCATTTTAAGAGGTGCTCAAAGAAAAATACAAGAAAAAAATTTTTATTGTACATTTCGACCGTAATGCTTCGAACCATTACGCTACTATAAAAATTAATTAATTCAAGGTTTAAAAAACATTATTTCTTTTTTTTTTTAATAGAATTATGTATAAAGTTTGAAAGAAATTAATAAAAATTTTAGTAATTTGGTTAGTTTGCAAAGCAATTTTCGGGTTGTCCAAGTTCAATTACGTATTTTGTAAAACAATCGGTCTGATTCAAAATATTAAAATTTAAAAGACTTTTCTCCTATTAATTATGCAGGAAGGATGTGCACGATGGTAAACACCATCCAAAAATATCTTTTTTCTAAGCAGAACGTCTTCCATACAACCCTTTAAAAAAAATAATTTAAAAAATCTATACATTTTGACAGGTTTTCGTATTCTTTTTGTTTTCTCATTTACTGCAAAAAACGAAAAAGAAGGCAAAAAAATTTTTTTTAAAAAAAAAGCAAAAAAAAAAATAAAGAAAAAAAAAAATAAAGTTTTTTAGACTTTGTATACTTTGTATCTAAAGTTTTGTTTGTCACAATCAACAACAGGGACAGGTCCCTTTGCGCTCTGCTCGGCGTTGTTCTACATGTATGTGGCTGATGATTAGTGTAACCCATAAGTGTATATCTTTTGTTAAAATTATCCTTGTTACACTATTAATTTAAGAATTTTAAATTTTAGAAGAAAAAAATGATTTTCTATTGGTGATTCATTTTTCGATCATCCGACGCCAGAAAATTTCCAAATCAAGGTTTAAAGTATCCAATATTTTAAATAAAAAACCAAGTAGCAGTGTTTCAAAAAACTTAAATTCTTGAATTTTTTGATATCATCTATCGATATTTTTGAAATAGATAAAAGAAAAAACTTTAAATATTTCCGTTTTTTCCCCAAATTAAAATCTTTCTTTAATAAATAATTGTCTTTTACATGCATAAAAACAACACAACTCATTTATCGAAAGTATAAAAATAAGACCTGACAGTCGACTTGAATAATTTTTTCTATTCTTGTTTTTAAGTTCTTCTTTTTTTGAGTGGTTTTTTTCTCAAAAAAAAAGAGTCTTTCACTAATCAACGTTCTTGATTATGGCTAATACCGTATGTCAAATTAAAATAGTTAGTGTGAATTCAACTAATGTACAAGAGGATAATACATCAAAACTTGTATCAGCCAATTTAAATTGTAAAGACAACTTGTCAAAAATTCGTGATAAACTCGAAAAAAATAGTGAAATCAAAATGAACGATACATTTTCATTTGCAAAGATAATCAACAATAATAGTAGTACTAGTGGAAGTTTGTTAGCCGTAATAGCGAGAGAAGATGAAGAAACGATAACTTTAGAAAATATTATAAACAAAGAGAGTAATATTTTATATTTAAAATCAGAACCCGATTGGAGGTTTTTTAAAGACAAGCTTAAACTGGAATATGGACGTAGCGTAACTCTAGAAAAAGCGAATAATAGAGCATTCAAGATAGTGGATTGCGAAATGAATAAAATTGTTGATGGATATGAAAATAGTACAATTCAAATTGATTCGGAAGAAAATAAGATTATAAAAAATGATTTTCTTTTAATTGCAGATATTGATATACCAAATTTTACAAAATTGGGAGTATCGATAAGAAATTCAAATATCAAAAATTCTAATGTTGCATCTAATTTAACTTATAATATTATTGAACAGAAAAAAATGTCTTTAAAATTTAAATTAGAACCAACTACTGAGTTTATTGAAGCAGTAAAGAATGTTATAGATTCTAAAGATCCAAGAAAATTTAAAGATATCATAAATGATTTTGGTCAATTTATTCCAAATGAAGTTATTTTAGGTGGAAGAACTTATTTTATTGCAAGAGAAAATTCTGAAGAGAATTTTGGTAAATATGTTAAAAATACAGGTTATCAGGCTTCAAATATTAAAACTAAAAAAAAATCATCAAAATCATTAAGCAAAAATAATTCTTCAAAATATCAAAGTTTTAGATTATATGGAGGGAAAGAAGTTTGTTCCAATAACTTTAATGAAACGGATTGGGTTGAATCCTTAAAAGATTTTAATAATTGGAGTTGCATAAAATTTAAAGATCCGGTTAATATTTTTCAACTTTTATCTAAAGATTTACGTAAACAAATTTTATTATTAGTTGGAAAAAAAATCCTTTATACAAATACTGAAGATTACAATTATCACTTATCTGAACCTGAAAAATACTATCATACTTTTAAATTGAACATTCCAGAAAATCTATTAGAAATTCTTCAAAATAAAGATGCTGAATGTAGTATCTTTGCAACAGTTATTGATAAAAAAGAAAAAGATATTTTTAACTGTCAAATCGTTTGGCCATCAAATGAAGATCCAAAACTTATCATTCATTGTTTTCAAAACAAATTTAGAAGGCGTCAATGTAAATTGAAAATCATGTGGATGATCGTTGGTTATGATATAAATTTTGATTATAATCATTCAGATTTTAATATTAAATTGGAAGTTCTAAAGAATAATTTTAATGGATCAAATTGCCAAGCTATTGCTGAATCATTGGATTTGGAATATAATCCATCAATCCTTTGTTTTGGAACTTCAATATTAAGTGAATTAGATTCTTCAAACAATTCTCAAGCTATTGGACACTATTTTTTTAATGATAGAGGAAATAAAAAAATTGGGTCATATTTATTTTCTTATTGTTTAGAAAATAATCATTTTGTCAACTTACCCAATAATTTTGAATTCCATACTCTCATTATTTTAAACTATCTTGATTCTGATAATTATGGAATTTTACCTTTCCAACATATGAGTAAGATAAGAAAAATGTTTAATTTTATTAAGCTTAATTCATTAAAATCAACAACACCAAAATTTATTAGTTTATATTCTACAGAAAACAATTTTGTTCCGATTTTCTTAAAACAAAAAACCCGTGAAATTAAAATCAAATATATTAATATTAATTATTGTAATCAAGATAATTGTATTTGTAATATTTGTGAGAACAAAAAAAAATTCAAGAAATTAGAAAATAATTTAAAATATGCATTCTTTGATCCAAAAAGGATTTAAAAAAGTGAATTGTAAATATAAATTTATTTATTTTATTTGTAAAATACAGTATAGATTATAGAATTTGTTATATATGTTTAAATAGAAATTGTACAATTTTATTGTTAGATACATATAGTTTTATTCATTTTATCTTATATATATATATATTTTATTATAGAAATAATTTTCAAAATAAAAAATTCAAACATCGTTTATAGAATTTCTTTCTTCATAAAAATTAAAAGTGTCAAAACCAGAAAATTCATTTTTCATGTGCAATTTACAGGAAAATAAACATATTTATAAAGAAATAAATATTAAACCAATACAGCATTTTCTAGCGAATTTATATATTAGACGTATTAATATTGTAGAGGATGACTTTATCTAATGATTATTAATTTTGGGGTGCAGTATTATTTAATTTAGATGCGGTCCGCTGTCTGCAATCGACCTTTAAACTACGAGTCAAGTGACTGAAATGACCTTAAACTATTGGGTAATTTGGAAGCAACTTAAAAAAAAAAAAATCGATAATTTTTACCATACCAATTTTGGATCACGCAAAACGTAAAGCGTTACCAGAAAATAATCGTTATTATAATAAGGAGTCATGTGTGATAGTGATTGTGCAACGAATATGGTTGGAGATAAAGTGGGAAATTTTTACTATGTAGATCTTAGGGGAACGATCCAGTATTCCAGTCGATCCATTGAGGTTCGCAATATTTTTTAAAAGTTTATTCTGATAGAAATTTGATTTTAATATTCTTAGAAATTTTTATTACTGAATCCCCCAATTGTATTTAGTCTTACATACTAACGAATAAAATATTCTTATTGCAAACCATCTGGTGGCAATGATGTAATAAATCATGCATGTAAAGGTGTGGTCCCTACATGGCAGATTAACGATCTTTAATAAATAAAAATATCACCTGATTGTCCTGTGAAACTTATACAACTTCTGTTTCCTAGGTTCCACAAAGATTTTGTATATAACAGGATAAACCTTACACCTTATTATAGAATCACAAACAATTAATAAACCATATCCAAAGATGCGGCAGCAAGTGTGTCATCAACTGGTATTTTTTCATAATGTTCAATATATCTCAGTATTGTAAATTTTACTGCTGTTTTGATAGAGGCATAATAGAAAAGTATTGAAACAAGTTATATAGGGAACGACATATCTTTGTTTGATAGAATGAATGACACAAAAAGTAGAAAAACCTTCTTGAGGTAAGTAACAAGGAAATTTACTCAAACTGTGGTTGGTTGCAACAACTCACAACTATCTAATTTCAGTAGATTTACGGGTACAAGTAAACGTTATACCCAAGAAATTGCAGTCATAACGAGCCTGCGCTTCATTATGAGGCTACGTGAGTTGAAAGAATTTTTTTGCTTTTGAACTCATATTCAAAAGTATTAAAAAAATTTCAAACCCTCTAGAGTTTATATTGATTTGATGGTGAATATTATCAACCGCCTTAAAGATTTATCAAAGACTTATTTATTCTCAACATCTATAAAAACACTTAAGGCTATGTTAATGTCTAATTGGATCAATTTTTTTTTCAAGTACTCTTGAAAAATTGATTTATGAAAGATTCAGAATTAGTATTCTAATGATAAAACGGATGTTTCATCCTGGTCATGCACGATTTAAAAAATTTTATATCAAAGAACACGATACTGCAGGTATTGATTTAATTAAACGTTTAGTTATATTTTTCAAATGTTCATATTTGTTAAAATCTTTTCCATATTTTTTTTTAAAAATGATGAAGATCAAGATGATGGTGAAAGGGAGAGAAGGATTAAGTTGTTACAACTATCGTCATTTTAATGATTCTTATGTTCAGCGTAACCCTCCATTAAAAGAGAATCTACAGTATTAGATGGTTGAGCAGTAATGTGATAATCTGTACAATGATTGAGTCAACATTTTAGTTATTGTCGTGATTAAAAGTATACCATGATGCACTTTTAAACGAAAGTTCTTATTAAGTACTATCATGAGATCCTATGACGAGCGATGGAGAAATTTATAATGTGTGAAAGGTACAAATAATTCTATCAATACGCCTATCAATATGACTTGTTACAAAAGTCAAGACTGAAGTGGATCAAGTGGTCATGTTTTCTGGTATGTGCGTTTTGAACAATTAGGGAGTGCCAATTTCAATATTTTGATTGAGAGCTTGTTACAACTCACAAGTTAAGCAAGCAATTAATTTATAGATCAAAAATATAGTGAATAATTGGTGAATGATATGTATCATTTTTTTTTTCTTATTTTTATAATATTCAGCATTAAATTCTCATTGCTGATTCGATAGAGAAGCTAGTCGAAAAGTCTTGACAATAATTGAATATAGTCGTAACAATCTTACGTTCCTTGTATAAGTTGAAGGAAATTTTTACTTTTGAATTCACGTTAAGATATTAAAAATTTTTTGAACCTTCTAGGACTTACATCGATTTGATGATGAAAAATTATGAAATTTATCAAAAATTTACATATACTCGACCGTCTACTATAATATAATGATGTCTAAATTGATCAATCCTTTCAAGTTCTCTTGAAAAGTTATATTTATGAATGATCTAGAAATATTTTAATAATAAACAAACGTTTCATCCTGATCAAACTGAAGTCGCACAATTCAAATAATAAATTATTTATACCGAGGAATTGGTGCTACAGGTATTGAATTTCTTTTTAATCAAATGTTTGTTTATATTATTTACTGTGTATGTTCAACATCTTCATGGTTTGTAGAGATGAAGAGCAAAGATAAAGATCAAGATAAAGGTGAAAGGAAGTGGAGGAATTGGTTGTTGCAACTAACTATCGTCATTTTAATGTAAATTTGATTCTACGTTCAACATAAAAGAAAATCTGCAATATTATTGCTTTTAATGGTGGTGGGTAGTGATGTAATAATTGTATGGTATCAAACTCAATTTACAAATATGAAATATCAAAGATTCAGTTCAACATTATATTTACTATTATGATATTATGGTGGTTAAAGTGTACCGTGATACACTTTTGACAAAAAGTTCTAAATAGAAAACTGCTAGAAGGTCTATCCGTATGTAAGCAAAATCAATTTAAATGGCTGTCTAAATGCTGTTCGAGACTTATTGCAGAAAGTAGTAACAAGTAATGTAGGAATGAGAAATTCATTGTATCTGAAAGTACAAATAATACTCTATCAATACGACTTTGTTACAAATGCAAGACTGGAGTGGGTTATATTTTTAGGGAGTGTGTTTTAAGCCGCTATGAAGTGATTTGTTACATCTCATCAATTCTAGAAACATCATTCTATAAAGCAAAAATTAGTGATCAGAAGGTATACGTGACGAAGAAAGTATATGTGATGATGATGATGAGAACGTCAAACAGAGATTTTAATGGAGGATAGACGCATTTTTAACAGACCATTCAAGTCTTTGACTATCACTCCAACATTAATAATGGATATCTAAATTCTAAATATTTCAAATTTGGCCGAATTCACTGCAATACTGTATGCTGTCAAGATGTTCTTTATAAATTTGAATCGCATTGCATTCTAAAGTGGTAAGTTTTTTTTTATTCTCTATGCAATATAGTTTACATGTTACTTATTAGTGATTTTTTTTTAAAAGCAATCTCCGTCATCTAAATTAATAGATAAATCTATATAAATGATTTCGATGAGATTATGAATTAAAATGTAATAGTTTTGTGGAGTAAATTATTTTATTTTTCTACACAACTATACAATCATGTGAAAATATATGGATTTGATGAAGTTTAAATAGGCAAGAAACAATGGAACGACCGAAAGTGAGATTGGATAAGTAATGTTGTATGTAAAAAAATTTTTTTTCTTTTTTTATGAAACTATGATCAATACATTTATGAATAACAAAATTTGAAAATTTTATAAGCTTAATTTTTATTAGGGTTTATAATTATTCTTAGTAAAAGAGGGTCGACTAATTTAGTGCCTAGCTAAACGAAAAAAAATAAATAGTAAGGATGTAGTAATATTATATGAATAAAGCATTAGTTTCTTATTTCTTTCTTTCATATTTAGTCCACTATCAACATTAATTAATGGTTATGAAAGTTCAAATAACGAATTTCCTTGTTTTATTGATAATAAGTTTATTAGTTATAATGAGCTATTTACAGATTTAATCAAATGAACCGTGTAACTTCATGATATCTTTTTTTTTTAAAAAAAAATCAAAAAAACTACCATGTAGTAATTGGAATTATACTAAAATATATTTATAAGTAAATATTAAGCGCGTTATTTTCACTTTCTATCAAAGTAATATCAATATAATAATTTTTTTCAATTGAATAGTAATATCATTCGTGTTCAATTGTTTAAAAAATAATTTTGAATAAATTGTATAATAGGTTACACCAGACAGATGATTTCCCGACAGGACATTTTCCCGACAACTTTGACCAGCATTAATTTTATAATGTACGGGACACTTAGCAAATTTTAAAGAACTCGGAAATATTTGGTAAAGTTCAAAATAAGATAAAATTACACCACATTCTCGGAATAGTACTCCAAAATTAGCGTATAATTTTTATTTTATATCAAGCTTTACCGAATATTTCCGAGTTCTTTATTAAAATTTGTTAAGTGTCCCGTACATTATGAAATCAGCTGTAAAACTAATGTAGGCCAACAGTGTCAGGCAAACGTCCTGTTGGGAAAATGGATGTCGTGCAAGTTAGAAATAATCGCAATAGACTTGCTCAATTCGTTTAATTCTCAGAATACAATATATGCCGTGCAGGTTAAAATTCATAATTCATTTCAGAAACTTTAATAATTTTTTAATCATGTGACTTAATTTTTATTGGTAGAATCTATATACCGAAATGTTCAGTATATAGATTAAAGTATTATATAACGAATTCACCCTATACCGAACCAAACCCTCTAGAACAGAGGGTTCATTATGTCCAATGGCGACTGTATTATCAAATTAACACTGAATTTATTACTGTTAGAAATTCTCATTAGCCAGTATAGTCTATTTGGTAATTTTGATCGTACAAAGTTACAATTTCCGATTTTCTCAAATTCATTTTCAATATTATTTGCCAAATCAAATTACCAGTTTCCATGATATTAAATGATATATTTTATTAGTCGTAATAAATCTACTCTAAACGGAAGGACTAAAAAAGGACTAAGCGAAGTTAATGTTATTGGAGCATTTGTACTATTTGATAATCTTTATAAAAGTCCGTCAGTACTATTTTTTTACGAGTTGTGCTTCAAATATAAAGAGTGTAGTAGTATTTCTGTGTAAATTCTGGGTTTAAAGCTTTTCATGCAGCAGACTGATATCATTATTGATCCGAAAAAATTTCCAACCTTTATAAAGTAATATATTGGATACACACGAAAAAACAATGAAAAATTTAATTCTATAATTGTGCTAAAGCTGAGAAAAATTTTAAATACATATATTTAGTTTTAAAGTATATGTTATAAATAATAAAATAATATTCGAAATTACATAAATAAACGTATTTTTCTTGAATTGTGTAATAATATAAGCGGCCTATATATAAAAATAAAAATATAAGATTACAAGATTTTCTAATGATAGAAAATTATATTTGTTTGATTTTTAATTTTACAAAATGAATATTACCTTAATTTGGATTTTTTGGATCTAAGAAAGCATATTTTAAGTTATCTTCTAATTTCTTGCATTTACAGATACAATCATCTTGATCACAATTAATGTTAATATATTTAATTTTAATTTCACTGGTTTTTTGTTTTAAGAAAACTGGTCTATATTTGTTTTTTGTAGAATACAAACTAATCAATTTTGGGTTTAATCTTAATGAATCAAGCTTAAGAAGATTAAGTATTTTTCTTATCTTACTCATATGTTGAAAAGGTGAGATTCCATAATTATTAGAATTAGGATAGTTTGAAATAATAAGAGTATGAAATGTAAAATTGGATAAGTTAACAAAATGATTTTTTTCCAAACAATAAGAAAATAAATATGATCCAAATTTTCTATTTTCTTTGTCATCAAAAAAATAGTGTCCAATAACTGGCGAATTGTTTGAAGTATCCAATTTACTTAATACTGGAATTCCAAAACAAAGAACTGATGGATTATATTTTAAATCTAATGGTTTAGCTATAGCTTGGTGATTTGATGCATTAAAATCATTTTTTAGAACTTCCAATTCAATGTCAAAATCCAAATGATTAAAATCAAAACTTGTATTATAACCAACGATCATCCACATGATTTTCAATTTACATTGACGCTTTCTAAATTTGTTTTGAAAACAATGAATAATAAGTTTTGGATCTTCAGTTGATGACCAAACAACTTGGCAGTTAAAGATATCTTTTTGTTTTTTATCAATAACTGTTGCAAAGATACTACATTCAGCATCTTTATTTTGAAGAATTTCTAAAATATTATCTGAAATTTTTAATTTGAAAGTATGATGCATTCCAGGTGCAGATAAATAATAATTATAATCTCAGTATTTGTATAAAGAATCTTTTTTCCAACTAATAATAGAACTTGTTTACGTAGATCCTCAGATAAAGTTTGAAAAACATTAACTGGATCTTTAAATTTTATGCAACTCCAATATTTAAAATCATTTAAAGATTCAACCCAATCTGACTCATTAAAGTTGCTAGAACCAAATTGTTTTCCTCCAAACAATTTAAAACTTTTATATTTAGAAGAATTATTCTTATTTAAAGACTTCAAACTTTTTATTTCAATTCTAAAATTTGAAGCTTGACTACCTATATTAGTAGTGTGTTCATCAGCATTTTCTTCAGAATTTCCTCTTGCAATAAAATAAGCTCTTCCACCTAAAATAATTTCTTTTGGGATAAATTGGCCAAAACTATTTATGACATTCTTAAATTTCCTAGGATCTTTAGAATCTATAACACCCTTTACTACTTCAATAAATTCTTTAGTTGGTTCTAATTTAAATTTTAAAGACATTTTTTCATATTCAATAATATTATAAGTTAAGCTAGTTATAACGTTAGAATTTTTGATGTTTGAATTTTCGAATGATACTCCCAATTTTGCAAAATTCGGAATATCAATATCCGCAATTAAAAGAAAATCATTTTTTACAATCTTACCTTCTCCCAAATCAATTTGAATTATACTATTTTCGTATCCATCAATAATTTCATTCATTTCGCAATTCACTATTGTAAATGCTCTCTTATTGGCTTTTTCTAAAGTTACAGTATACCCATATTCTAGTTTAAGCTTATCTTTCAAGAACTTACAGTCAGGTTCTGGTTCTGATTTTAAATATAAAAACATACTTTTTTTGTATATAACTTTTTCTAAAATTATATTTTCTTCATCTTCTCTTGCTATTACAGCTAATGAACTTCCGCCCATATTATCATTATTATTTATCTTATTTGCAAATGACAATGTATCATTCATTTTGACTTTGCTATTTTGTACAAGTTTGTGGCGCATGTTTGGTAATTTATCTTTAAGATTTAAATTAACTGATACAAATTTTGATGGCGGTCATCTATTTGAACTGTTATGTCGACATCATTTGCGGAATCCAGACTATTTTGACATTCGATATCCATAATCAAGAACTTCAAAAGCTATAGTTGTTCGTTTTTGTTGTTATTATTAACACTTGATAATGTGATTATGTGTCGCGTCACTTTGGTAGTACTTATAACGTTCATGTAATTATAATTATTTAAATATTGTTTCTGATGAAACAAGAATTAAGACATTACATGAATAAATTTGTCAGCTATCTTTGTTAATAAAGATTATTATAGTATTTAAAATTCACCAAATCTATTATTAATTTTTTCGGTTGAACAAATTTGGTGGAAAACGAAAGAGAGAAAGAGAAAATAAAATATAATTATAAAATTCTGATTTAGGAATAATCTCACATGTATTGAATCATATGTCGGTACAATTTCGGAGTACCGTGTAAAGGTTACACAATTGATTTAGGTTTAGTAACACCAAATATGGTAATGATATTCTCAGATCTTCCGAAGAAACTCAAACACGTGATCATTTCTGATTGTTTGTTTGTAATGATGTGTCATCAGCGCACAAATTCTAATATTTTTTGATGATTAAATTTTTTTTTGCAAATTTTTATGTATTACAAAAATGTACAGTTATCAACAGCTCTTGTCGTTTGTTCTAAATAAAGAAATTTAAAAATTTTTTTTTTTTAAAAAAAAGAAATCATTTGGCTTACACATAAGATAAAATCTCACTTTTTAGGCACAATATGCATCTGAACTTATTTTTCCGCAAATATAATCCCAACAATTAAATACCAATCAAAAGAGGCGGGGTTCAAATGTTGATGGCGTGAAATTGAGAATATCATTCTAAAATTCGATATTGCCAAATATACTACTATTGTGAAAAATAAATTTAAAGACTTTAAAATTAATTATAGTGCGAAAAGGACAAAAGATTTGCTTTGTTCAAACAAAAAAAAAATATAACTCGCTCCACTTACACATTGCTTACATAGACAATCCCTGACGCATGTTGGTGTAGGGATTGGAACCATCCAAAAAACCTTAACCGGTTAAAAACCGGTTAATCGGAACGTTTAACCGGATAATAACCGGTTAAAGATATAAGTTTTACGTTTAACGCGTTTATAAGTTTTATTTTGCTCATTTGAATATTTGATAAATCTATCGCAATTTTACTCTTAAAATTATGCATCATTTATGATAAAAACACATTTTTAACTTTATTCATAAATATTTGATAAAATGATAAGGGACGATCAATTTTTAATAAGAAATAGGATTATTGATCTGGAATAAATTTCCAAGCAAATTTTTCTCGAAAGTAAAATTTGCTAAACAACTTTTTCTCGAAAATAAAAGTTGGTTCTATTAAAGATTCGAAAATCTATTCAAAAAAACTGAGAGGATTAACTGAGAAAGACCTTACAAAGAACCTTTTCCAAACTTCTTCAAACTTACTTCTCCCTCCTCAAATCTTGAGGGGTATATATATAATGAAAAATTCCAGTGGACGACATGACTATGCGTCAACTTGTGCATCGGTTGACCTTGGGTCAACTCGTACTTCGGTTGACTATTAGTCGACTCGTCTAGTCGACGAGTCGTCCTACTTACATAATCAATGATCATTGACCAGCTAATCAAAATGTCTAACTAAAATAATCAATATAATCTATTGTAACACTAGAAAATCTAACAATAAAACAATACAATATAAAATAATACATAATAAAATAATATTATGGAAATAATAAAATTAAACTAACTAATTCTATATCAAACAATTATTTCGGTGTTTAATAAATTGCTTAGGACGAAATGATCGACCAGTATGCGATACAATATATTTAAGCATATTTTTAAAATATTCTAGATAATTTGAAAAAGATATCAACTGAATGTGTATCCACTTTCCACTTATTTTTATATCATGTTAGTAAAATTAATTATGTAAAGTAATACTGTACTATATAATGAAACGATTATGTCAGAGGTATGCCGAATTTTGCATACACAATGATCTGCGTTACACATTTCTTCAATTTAATCTGGTTTTGTAGGCTTTCCCAAATCCTACTCATCCCATGGATTAGCTTTACTTGGCTTTAAAATAAAGTAATAAAAATAAATTAGTAAATTTTCAAATATCAAATATCTATTTCTTGATAAATTTAATCAATACCTTTTTCTTCAAAAATGTTTTTAATCATTCCATATATAATTCTTCCGGTAGCACATCTTTATAAGGTACTACGTTATATAAAAAATTCTTTAGAAGAAAAATCATAGAATCTAATTAGATACATCGTTGTAAGGTAATTTTTAAAGGTTTAAAATCATCTTTTAGATAATTATAGACAGAAGAAAGCATAAGATTTTGAGCAATACTCAATTTAAGAACAATTTTCCATATTTGAGCTTCACTCATTTGAAAATTATTATTTTAATAAGCGTGATTAAAATTTTTTCTGGGATTAAAGAGAAATCTAATGACTTAAATATTATATCTGGAACTGTAGAGGTTGGAATCGACAAAAAAACCTTAATCGATTACTAACAAGCTATCATGATCGAATAATGTTAATTTATAATAAGGTTAATCGATTAACATATAAATTTTGCGTTTAATTGGTTTATTTATTTTATTTATCTAGTATCAATTTTAACCTACGCCGTAATGTTGACATTTATTGCTTCATAATCAGTGTTCCAAAATGTATTTTATTTATATAAATACTTAATTACAGAATTTATTTATAGTGTTAAAAAAATAAATAAATAAACTAAAATATGGAAATCCTGTATAATACTTAATATTAATTTACTTTTTCTAAATTTAATGAATAAAAAATTATTAGTTTACTATAAGAGAACTTTTCAATTATGTAATTAGAATATTACCTTATTAGCAGCAAGTGTGAACACATCAAGATAATTTGAATTTCTTTTAATAAAAAGAATTTCTTGAAAAACTTTTGGACTAAGGCGTGTTTGTTTATTTGTCATGCTATTTCCAGAATCTGAAAACAAGCGTTCACTTCACCCATATTAAATAGCCACTTTGTAAAGATGTAATATAAAACAAATGTTTATTTTAAAAAAAAAATTTATTTTTTATCCCATCTAAGTAAATTATTTTGAGATGATCTACATTTTTAATCTAAATTAATTGATTCAGTTAATCGGTAATTTTGATGTATAAATTAAACGAAAAGTCGCATAATAGGTGTGGGAATAAGCGGTTATCATGTTGAATTAGGCGCAAATTTGTCCGCTTTAGCTTTATAATCCAGTGTCAAAATTCAAAATTAGCAGTGAGCAATATTAAAATCATGTGCGCTATATGTGTGTGCACACGATGTGTACATGTTTATTAAAATATGAAATTATTATTTTATTATCAATATTTCCAAATCGAGTGGCTAACCATTAACGGCTTAACGCGTTTTTGTGGCTTACGCATAACCGATCATTATTATTAAATCATCTGATGTGTACAGTAGTGCGCATCAAATGTGCGCGATTTTTTGCAAATTTTTTTGATGTTAGCAAATCCGAACCCTCATTTATTATAATTTGTGCGCAAATTTAAAATTGATGTGTGGAGCGCACATCCCGCACATCCAATTTTGACCACTGCCTTAATCGATTAGTCGTCTTAATCGATTCCAACCTCTACGGCGAAACTTTGAACATTAAACCAGTGCAATACTCTTGAATTTTTATGTCTATAAAATTTTTCTTAAAAAAAATTTTTTGATGCGTTTTTTATATTTGTATATATTGTATATATTGCAAATTTATTAGTCCGAAGGACTATATATTATTAATTATTTTTTTTTTACCAAATTTTAAATATACTAGGAACGGGAACCGGTATACATTCTGAAGTGTCGTTTCTGATTCCTCTAGTCCGTTTACTTAGAAATGTATCAATAGCGTAACTTTTGTAAATATGTAGGACAAACAGATATCGCATATGGTAATAATTTAACTTTTTGAAGCATCGCCTGATTGTCTGTTTGTCTGTGAAACTATCCTATACCCCAACTCCCCAAAAAATTGTTTCCTAAGTTCCACAAAAATTATTACCATTACACGCTTTCACATGTCACGAGCAATTAATGCCAATTGCACAATGGATTTTTTTTTTTCATTTCTCAATTGTAATGTTTTGACAAAGGCACAATTAGAGAAGGTGTTGGGGGAGTAAAATATCACTACTTTAATATAACAAGGTAGAAAACTTTCTTGAGGTATGTAATTTTCACAGCTTTCTTATTCCAGTACTCTCTATTTTACGGATAACGTACCTAAAAAATTATATTGCAATTTATTCTTATTTATAAAATTCTATTTCAGTGTATAACTCCCCTTGATACACCTTGTTGGGCAATGGTTCAAATTTCAATTTGAACGTCAAGTATATTTACTTCATTACAATTTTGTAATAAAAATAACGTGGAAAATGGAATCGTAACAATTCTGTAAATTACTCGACGCGATTCTGGCGTAAATTCATGATGATTCTTAATTAAATATTAGCATCGGATTTATATCCGGATTATAAATATTCTCCAAGATTTAATTCTGCGAGAAAATCTAGAAGAAAATTAAAAAAATGCAAAAGCAAAACGGGATGAGTTCCTGCACAGAAACTTTCTTGAGGTAGGTAATTTTCACAGCTTTCTTATTCCAGTACTCTCTATTTTACGGATAGCGTAAACTTAAAAAATTATATTGCAATTTATTCTTATTTATAAAATTCTATTTCAGTGTATAACTCCCCTTGATACACTTTGTTGGGCAATGGTTCAAATTTCAATTTGAACGACAGTATATTTACTTCATTACAATTTTGTAATAAAAATAATGTGGAAAATGGAATCGTAACAATCCTGTAAGCGATTCTGGCGTAAAAATTCATGATGATTCTTAATTAAATATTAGCATCGGATTTTATATCCGGATTATAAATATTTCCCAGATATAATTCTGCGAGAAAATCTAGGAGGAGAAAATCAAAAATGCAAAAGCAAAACGGGATGAGTTCCTGCACAGAAACTTTCTTGAGGTGGGTAATTTTCACAGCTTTTTTATTCCAGTACTCTCTATTTTACGGATAACGTAAACCTAAAAAATTATATTGCAATTTATTCTTATTTATAAAATTCTATCAGTATATTTACTTCATTACAATTTTGTAATAAAAATAACGTGGAAAATGGAATCGTAACAATCCTGTAAATTACTCGACGCGATTCTGGCGTAAAATTCATGATGATTCTTAATTAAATATTAGCATCGGATTTATATCCGGATTTATATCCGGATTATAAATATTCTTCATATATAATTCTGCGAGAAAATCTAGGAGGAGAAAATCAAAAAATGCAAAAGCAAAAAAATGCAAAAGCAAAACGGGATGAGTTCCTGCACTTCATTATGGAGCCACGTGAGGTAAAAGAAATTTTTGCTTTTGAACTCGCATTTAAAGGTATTAAAAAATTTTTTAATCCTCTAGGCTTATATTGGTTTGATGGTGAATATTACCAACCGCCTTAGAGATTTATCAAAACTTATTTTTTTCAACATCTATAAGAACACTTAAGGTTCCAATCTTTCCTGAAGAATTTATTTATGAAGGATTCGGGATTATTTTAAAGGTTCCATCCTGACCAACCGTATTTTTAAAAATTTTTATATCAAAGAACGTAATACTGTAGGTATTGATTTATTTAATCAAACGTTTAGTTATATTTTTTAAATGTTCATATTTTCTAAAATTCTTCTCCATAGTTTTGTAATGATGATGATCAAAATGAAGGTGTAAAGGAAGAGAAGGACTAGTTTCTACAACTATCGTTCATTTTAATGATTCTATGTTCAACATAACCCCTCCATTAAAAGAGAATCAGCAGCATTGCAGTAATGTAATAATCTGTACTATTACGATATTATTGCGATTAAAAATATATCATGAAACTATTGGGAGGTCCTACTGTGTAAATAATTTAGATGACCGCCTAACAGCTGTTCGAGCAACTTATAGAAATTAACAATAACGAGCTTCGGTATGAGCGTTTTGAACAATTAGGGCGTCAAAATTAGTGAAGCCATTGGGAAAAACCCTCTTAGAGGTAAGTAACTAGGACGTTTACTCAAACAACAATTTAATGGTTACAGCATTTTCACAACTATTTTATTTTGATAGCTTTATTTTACGGATGCGGACGAACGTTAAACAGGAAGCTTTACCGCAATTTTATTTGTAAAATAATTTTGGGAACGAGTCATCTGCGGCAATGATTCAAATGTTAATTTGAACGTTTATACCATAGTTAACAGTCATTCATAATTTTGATATAAAATAATCTGGAAGTCATACAATTTATAAGGGATTACGTAAGTTGAAGGAAATTTTTTGCTTTCGAATTCATGTTAAGGTATTAAAAATTTTTTTTTTGAACCCTCTAGGGCTTACATTGATTTGATGATGAAGTATTACGAAAATATACATACAAAGTATATTGGAAGCCTACGCCCAGGCCTGACCAAGCTAAGAAACGATTTCTCTCCGAAATATTTTCAAAAAATTTTTCAGAGTTTGTTTCTCCACTCTCCAATAATATCGCGGATAATTGTTATTTATTACTCTTGAAGAAAAAAATAATTATAAAAAGTGTTAACTAAACGTGTTTGTGAGATTGATCATTGAGATCTCTCGAAGAAAACACATTTGTTAAAATTCACCTAAATGCGTGAAAAGAAATTGGTTGATAAAGCTTGAGGAAAAAAGCGTTTATAAATATCCAAACGCACCCACGCATTGGTTGTTGATATTATTTTGCCTATGAGGGAAGAAATTAAATTATTATAATTCTGGACTTTGAGCTATATCCTGAGTATAGATATACCCCAAAAAGCCAGATATTCTCAAAATAATATTCTATTATTACCCTTTTCTAACAATAAGAGCATTGACAAGTTGAAAAATGAGAGAGAAGAGCGCAGAATAATTAGATTATACAGAGGCCAACAAGAATTTTTTCTGAGATGAAGTGTTTAATGCTGTGCCTTGATTGGTTTCAGGCAATTGTTTCAGTCGGCCGGAGTATGACTAATAAAAGAAATTTATTGATAGTAGTGATTACTATTATTTAAAAGTTTAAAAAAATTCCAATTGTTTAAATACTTTAAAAATTATTATATTTAATAATGTTAATCTATACAATTTGGAAGTTAATTTATTTAATGAAGTATTTTCATATTCTTTATTGTTATCTAACGAATTAGAACTTATATTTAATTAATTATGCACAAGATTATATAATTAATATCGAAGAATTTAAATTTTGTTTATTCATTCATGACTTATTAATTTAAATTTTGTTTATTCATTTATGATAGTAATTTTTTTAGGGTTATCAATGTATGGAATACCTGTAGGGTATCGCTTCACAAACTACATAGTTTTTATTTGTGAAGGGCGTGATAAATGCATATTCAAAATAGTGTTTATGGCGATAAATGCTTAACACTAGTACTGTAGGAGTTTACTGAATCTCCTGGTGAATTTTTTTTTTTCATTAGGATTAGCTGAATCTTCTGGTGAATTCTTTTTTTCATTATTAGCCTTTACTACGTAATACATATTTGCAATAAAAATTTAAGAATTTTATTATACATTATATATTGTTTTTAAATCTTCTGGAAGACTTTTACATTTCATCAAATGATCTTTAATCGATCAATTAAATCATTAATGTCATTTCCCACTGATAAGTTCAGGCGGACAAAAAAAGTTACATATGATTTGCCCGAAAATATATACACATTATATAATTGGTTTCGTATTTTGCGTAAACATCTGCTATCTCTAATTTTTTCATCATAATGATCGTCAGAATAATGCATTTGAGTTTCTCCAACATATGCACATCTTTAAAAATTTCTTCGTTCACGGTCCGATCAGCTGAGTATACCTTAATGAAATACGAATTCCGCTACCTTTTGATCTAATTTAAATACCATTTATTTATCTGTAACAAAATCCTAACATTATCGTTCCAGGCTAATTTTTCAGCGTAAGTGTGCTTTTCTTAAAAGTTCACGGGAACTAATCGTAACGTGATAACCTTTTACAGATTTTTACTTCATGATTTTGAGACTCATAATATAAAGACCTCGACGTGTATATTTAGATCCAATGAAATCTGAAAAATTTTAATGCTGACTAATGTTAAAACCTTAAATTTGAATTGATTCGAAATTAATATTCACATTTTAATAAACAATGCATTAATTAATTTTATCAATAAAGAAGTTTTTTTTTTTTTAATCGGTAAACGCATTTTTTATTTCTGTCAATAAAGAAGTTAGTTATACGTTATACCTTTCTTAATACGTAATACTTATTTATATATGCGAAGACCATTATGAATAATCTATAGATGGTTACTCTCTTTTAAGTACATAGTATACCCATGTCGCCATGTTGTGCCTTTATTATAGTATACGGATTATATATTAGTTTAAATCTTTAAGACACGTACCCAAGCCCGCAGAATTAATTTCAACAAAAAATAAAAACACAAGCAGATAATTATACTGCGCCACCGCAATATGTTAAAAATTTTGAAAATTGAAATGAATTATAAAAAACTCAGTCCAAATATTGTGAGCTAATGTAGGAGTAATATATTGGTCTAATAATGAGAATTTAATTCATGTAAATTAAATGGTTACGATGCTGATTATATCATCAAGAAGTATTTGTATTATTAAAATTAATTATTTAATTTATGATCACATATTTTAGTTTCAAACCAGTTATGAAAGTAAAAAAAAAAATAATGTTTATTCTCTAAATAGGTATAGTTCTATACTCATCAAGGGTAAAATCATGTTATAATTTCCAGTATTTCCAGTATATTTTCCACTATGAAAAGACTTTAATAAAAATATATATACGCATATCTCCCTTAATATTTCTCAATTCTCACGCTCTTATGTTAGCTAAAATTTGATATCAATGTATTAATATAAAAATAGCGAATGATAAAGCGAGTTTAAAAGAACATTTTTTTGTACATGGAGCGATTGTTGATTGAAGTGTTATGAATAACTGTGTTACGATACTTAAATTTATAGTTTTTATTTCACATATCTAATAATATAAGAAGTTACAAAGTTTAATTTATAATTTCTTATAGTAATTTAAATTAATTAAAAATTATGCGGTTATAATTTGTGCGGGCAGCCTCTTTGTAGTAAACCATGTGATTAGACGATCTACGATCACGTTAATAATTTTCATTAAAGAATATATTTTATTGTTATGAAAATAAACTAAATATTTATAATTTAATTGGAAATTGCGCCAACTCGAATGAGCCCGTTTGTCATTTTTCAATGAATGGCGTAGTAATATTAATAAACTGCTTAACGTGATTGTAGATCATGATTTATTACAGGGGAAGGTTACGAATGACAAAAGTGGTGACTAGGGGTACGAATATCAGCTCCATAATTTATAGTATATTTAATCACCAGGTCATTTTGGCACAATAGCAAAGAATATTTTGCGAGTTTCTTACTAAAGAAAATTTCTTCAACTGTTAAGGCGTAGAAAGTTGATAATAATAAAACAAATTATTTTGAATTAATTAATGTATTTAATGTAATATAATTACGCCCGCCATTTTATGACAGATACTCAATTAAAATTAATATTTTAATACTTGAAAAAATCGACTATAAAAGCAATAAGTATTTGAATTAACTTCATCTTAAATTTATTATTCTTATTATAATAATACAATTTAAATCATAACAAAAAGCATGTTAAAAATAATCTTATATATAAATTACTAAATAAATTTTATGAAGATTCAAGTGTACGTACAAATTATAATGATTTAATTAATCAAAATAATAACCTATCGCTTCCTTTTTTTGATGGCATCCGATATTAATTGGTTAATTTGACTATGTTAAATGTTTAGAAATATAATTTTAGTTAGTTCAATTCCGGAAAAAATTTCGTACAATGGACAAATTTTTATATATTCTATTAACTATTAGAATTTCGAACGTCAATTTTTATCACAAAATGTGAAATATTCATATCCTTGAAGGAGTTATTTTTACTACCAATAAAAAGATCTAATCAGATCCTATGTAGTGTACCTGCGTTAAACACTACTCAAAGAGGTACTATATATAACTAACAAGAGCGTCTTCATTTGTCTTTTGTGGGTCTGACAAGTCAAAAATTATAACACATTTAAACTAAATATTACATATTGCAACAAATTATTTTATTAGAACACACATCACAAAATTGTCGATATAATGACTTGTCAGGATTTGTCGAGGTTTTGTTGTCGATCTTGTGTTTAGTCGTGCAAGTGACTGTCGAGATTTTGATCACGCTCTTTTACGGTATGTAAAAGAGAATTTTTATTATGTTTGGTGTATTCATCACAATTTATTTGTTAAAAAAATCTTTTACTCCCTTTTGTTTATAATTTCCATTTCCATTTAGATATTTACAATACTATTTGGAAGTCTTGAAATCAGTATTTTAAAGAATGGAAAAATGTCATAGTATTAACCACAAGAAGTTCTTTCAAGATTTCGCATCAGAAGTTTCTCACATTTGTCCTTTGCGCAGTTCTGTCAATCATAATTAGTCTTTTTCCAATCCTTTCAATGATTTCCGAAATCCTCATGACGCCACGTCTTTGTGGAATTGTTTTAAATCGTCTAATTTTTTACATAATGGACCATGACACCAATTCATTGATTTTTCTCCTAATTGTACTTTTAATTTTAATGTTTCGTTATTTTGTTCTCCTTTAAATTTTTTTTTTAATTCTCCTTTGTGTTACTCTAGTTAGTAGTTTAGTTTTTTCTAGTGTTAGCTTCTTCTTTTTTTACGGAGAGTGAACCCCTTATGGGTGCGCGCTTTTAACTAACTTTAGTTAGGATTTGCTTTTACTATGTACTTTATACCTCTGGTTGGCTTTCTACACAAAGTTAGTCAAAAGTGTCATCTTTGTTGGAATAAACAAATTATTTGTCCCCGACACTGTTGCAGATTTTTTCTGATAAAAGGATTTGTTATTACATGATCTAAAAATTTTTCATACATGAATTTTCTTATCTGTCACATGAAAATTATTCAATGATCATATGATCCCCCTGTTATCTAAATTTTTATGGCCGATCTGGTCTAATTTTGTGACGCAGCAGATCGAAAAATGACTTTCAATAAGAATAGTCAAATTCCGATCTTTAGATGATTGTGTCTCTACTAGTCTTAGAAAAACGGGGCAAAGACGGAATTTTGTCAAATGTTCAAAAAATCTTTTAAGAATGCATTTCTTATCGCTTACCCCAAGTAGGCTGTCTTGGTCGTACGATTATCATACGATTATTGATAATAATTTTTATAATAAGGTAAAAAATATACACAACTCTTTTATATAATTTATAACAAGAAAAGTAATATAAAAATAAAAGATATATTGTGTTACACATTAATAAAGTTTTATATTTTGTTTATTTTAAAATTATACAATTGTTACATTTTATTAAAGCTTTCAATAATCAAGATAATTCTTTGTGATATTCTGTATTAGTTGCCACTGCCACCTAAACACTGTACATAGAGCTTTATTGAAATGAATGAACATATCAAAACCTCTTTCTAAGAATAGAACATTCACAAGAACGCGTGGTACTGTACACTCGATACTACTTTTTTTTTCTTTTTTTTTAAAAAAAATTCTTAACTCTCGTGTTTAACAAATTATTTCGAATCGAAGTAAAAAAAAATTAGCAAATGAACATGACGCAATTGATGTATACTTTAGTTATCAGAAAAATAAAAAATTAATTTTATTATTACTTATTAATATATAGCATTAAATATTTTTACGCAGAAGTTAATCTTTTTACGTGGCATAACTGAGAATAATTTATCAAATCGTACATGATTTTCGCATTACAAAAATACAAAAAGTACAAAGTATGAAATAAATTGACAAAATAAAATTAATTATTAAAAATTATTAAAAAAAATATCAAAAAAGTGAATAAACAAGTATTATATATATTATGGTATTGATTATTCCTCAAAAAATGTAAAAAAATTTCAGTGATGAAGAACACTTAAATTGTAGGGTACGCTTTGACTTCAGAAGTAGAGGTAGGTCCTTCTTCATCGAAAGTCTTGCAGCAGAACCCACCAGGGTTAGGATACGCTTCGCTATTAGGTAAGGCGACAAGCGTAATCAACAAAATAACGAGTACAAAAATAAATCGGTTCATAATGGATAATTTGTATTAGAAACTTATTTGTAAGTGATTATTTTATAATTTTAATTTTTATAAATTTTTGTTTTTTATTGAATTACTTGTCTTTTCATATCCACCATCTTTTTATAATAAAAAAAAAAAGAAGCTGCAAGATTTTATCAAACATTTTTGCTTCTTGTAAATCAATTTTCAATATGTATTGTTTTAGGTTAAAAATAGAGATCGGATCTGTTAATCCGGATATTTGATACGATTTCGAGTTTATCCGTTAAAGGCTTAACTAAATTTGTAGATAGTTTGTTTATTTAACTTTTCCAGCGTCTTGCATTTGCATATGCTTGCGATAAGCTAAATATAGAATACAAAAAAAACAAAAAAAAAAAGGTTTATAAATTAAATAATTAATAATTACTTATAGGTAAATAGGGGAATTGTTGGTCTAATTGAGTTAAAGAAGCGTAATAATGTTACTTTCGTTTATTTTAAAGAAATAAATTATTTCTTCTTTGGATTTCTTAATAAAATAAGTATCGGGACATTTCGCCGAAAGCCATTTCGCCGAAAAATAATCTCTGGCATAATGTTGGCCCTATTTTTCGGCGAAACGTCCTTTCGATGAAATGGCTTTCGGCAAAATGTACCGTAACCAATAAAATAAAATTAAATTTATGTAAATATAACTAGTAATAAACTGTAATATAGATATAAGTTTTATGATAGATCAGTGATCAAATTATGTAAATTCTGTACGAATTCTGTGAAACTTTCAACGGACTATTGTGATACGTTATTTTAAGGAAAATAATCATATAAAAATCTTATTAAATAAGGGTTACGATACCTTAAATGGTTACGGTACATTTAAATAAGTATACAGTTTTTCTATGGGGTAAAATAATTAAATATTAACTTTTTATTAATAAAATTAAGTACAGTATTACTATTATTTCCGGTTGGTACAACCTACAGTAAATCTAAAGGTTCGAATGCCAATTTTACTTTTATCGCTTAAATAACAAGTAGCTTGTAATTATCTTCATTATTATGGTAGCGCTTGTTTACTCACTATTAAATAATTTTTTTTATTTTATTTTTAAATAGGTACTATATTATTGATATACCGCATGTTTTGAGAATACTAATTTAAATAATAAATAGTTTATAGTTTATAAGTATCTTCATTATTATGTTTACACTTATTTTTTGAAAGTTTCTAACTTCTAATTGTTAATTTTTATTTAATAAATAGGCTCTGTAAGTATATTCATTAATTCATTAACGCAGTAACATAAATTGTACCCCCTTTTTTTTGTAAAATATATTAATATTATGATTAGTTGATTAACGAATAAGGAGTAAGTACTGTATTACTATTGATATTATGATCACACATTATTTTTGAAAAAAAAAAAAAATCTTAAATAATAATAGGATAAAGTAAAACTGTAAGTACTTCATCACCAATTAAATAGTCCGCTTTAAAGAAAAAATAATACAAATGCTCGGCAGAGTGACTATTTCTTTTTTTGCTGCGGATGAAAGGAAAAAAAACGTAATCATCACGAGTAAATCAGTACTATGTCACATTTCCTCAATACAAACCGAAAATTGCGTAATAATAATTAATAAATACTCGATATAGTAATTTTTTCATGTAATCATTCGTCATGACGATAAGATCTACAAAACAAAAAAAAAAATTATTGAAATTGGACCACTTAAATCGCGAAATAATTGTTTTTGCTTCCGGGATAAAGCCCGGATCAGATCAAGATCCGGGACTTTATCGTCATATTAACCAAATAATGTGAATAATGACTTGACATACTATTTCTCCCTTAAAAATCATTAAATAGTTTTTAAATATCATTAAATCATTTTAAATCACTTGCTTGTGATTTTATCTGTCATATGTAAGTCTATTAAAAAAATTTTCTTTAAAAAAAAAATCTTTCTTTAAATAAATCTTAAAAAATCTTTCTTATAAAAATCTTTCTTTATTTTCTTATAAAATTCGTACAAAAAATTTATAATTTTATAATAACAATGTCTTCTACTGAAATTGTGAAGACAATCGAAGCTAAATCTCACCGTGCATCAATTTTTTTTAAAAAAATTTCATTATTATTCCAATAAAGTATATTTGGTTTATTCTCTCATCATTCTCAAAAAAAAAAAAAAAAAAATTATTTCGTCATTATATATGTATATTTATGTCAGCCGGAATAAATTATCTGTGGTAATTTTCACCTGCCATGAGATTTAGCAACGTATATGTATATGTATTTTTTTTAATTAGGATACTGACTTATTTTTGATAATTTAAAATTGGGATGTTGTCATAGATAATATTATCATTGATAATATTATTGATGGCGATAAAACTGATAATAATATTATTGATAACAATAAAACTAATGTTGATGATAATGATTGTATTGAAAGTAAATATTTAGCTGTTTTTTTTTTCATTGCACTAATTATTGTATATTAAATTGCATTTCAAAATTATATAGTGACATTATCACCCGAGGAAGTTTGAAAAATGCTTCGTGAATTTGGTTTTGATAATAAGGAAGTGGAATTGTGGAGTGAACCAATCGAGATTCCTCTTGGTGTTTCTATGACGCCATTTGTGATTCACAAAGTTATTCTTTCTGGTTTGCACTTTCAAGATATTGAGGAATATCCAGAAATTTTATATGAATGTAAAAAAGGGTGGATTCCTAAATGGGTATCTCAAAAAGTTCAATCTGTTAATCCTGGAAGAATTATACCTGGAACGGGAACTCCTGCTAGATCCTATCCAGACTATGTATCAGTATATAAATTTCAAAAGCCTTCAAAAAATAAGGATCAAGCAAAAATCCTTGATCCATTAAATATTAATCCAAATGATAGTAATCAGCATTTCTTGTATCGTGGAATACGTACATCAGATACTATTCCCGTGTTTTTTTTAAGAATAGTGCTAGTATCATCAGTAAATAATGAATTTGGTCCTGGTCTTTATTGCACTCCTAATTTTAATCTTGCTGTTGAGTATGCAGGAAAAAATGGCGCAATTTTTGTATATGATTGGTCTAATTTGGACAGCGATTTTACCATTAAAACTTTGATAGATAGAGAATGGGAAGATACTGTTAAAGGTTGGATATGTATAGACGATGATAGTAAACCAGGTCCACCCCAATTTGATGAAGATATTATTCAAGGACCTGTTTCTAAAAATCATGGGAGTATCTATAACTGCAGCAAACCAATTCAGTCACAAGATTTACAAGTTGTCGCAATAACAACTAATGGTGTGAATGCGATGACAGAACGTTTATACGCAATTATTTATCTTTATTAGCTATAAATCATATAAAAATTGATTTACATATTACCACTTCAACAAAACTTGCTTTTCTATAAAATATTGAAATAATGAAAAAAAAAGATCATAATCAATATTATAGGTGCTGTCAAATTTTATGAATTACGTATGAAATCTTGTTTTAAATAATTATGACATGGTTTTTATGGTTGCAATATGTAATTTGGTAGCAGTAGCGTAAGCATTTATATTTCAGCGGTACTTATAATATATATCAGATTAAATTATATAGATAACATGAAATTATAACTTTCAATTTTTAATGATGGCAACCTATTTACAAAAAGCCAGAAAATATTGTTTCCAAAAAATGGCTGAGCCAAAAAAAAATGATTACGATTCTACGGTTTATGTCAAAATAGAAAATCCAGAAGGAATTGAGTATGGGGAAAACCATCTGATCATTATCAACGGTAAGTTGGACTCTCCTTCTATTTGTATTAAATCAATTATCCTTGCTGAACCTAACTTTAAGTATCAACAAAGATAAATTAGAAAAGTGTCTTGGAGAGTCCATACGAGACGCTATTGATGATGTTTGTGAGATAATTGAAAGATGGCAAAAAAGAGTTGCAAAAAGATATAATCAAAATTTTAATTGTAATTATGAAGAATTCCATCACCTTTATTTTGATTTGAAAGCGGGAGTTGAAGTGAGTGACTATAGGATAAAAAATAACCTTATAAAGGTACTAGAAAAAGGAAATATTAAATATTATGAGCTTCAAACCATGTCGCTCTACAAACAACATCGGAATAAGGTAGCACACAAGAAAAAATGGAAACCGGAGGATAAAAATAAAGGACAACGCAAAGAGGCCACTAAAATGCCCTTGAGTGTATTAAAATAGCTACAAAAATTAGAAATAATCTGGAGTTGATCTCTGCATTTGAAAAGTGTGTCAAGGATTTATATATTTAATACGTTTGCGCATGGCATGTCTGTATGTAGATCATAACAGTTACGTCAATTACTAATTACGTTAGCACTAAATAAAAATTTTTAATTTGTTACAAAATTTGTTATCGGTTCAAAGACTTTGAGAAAATATCTTTTTTTATAATACATTAAAAGTATGACTTTTGAACTTTCAAATAACACTAATTTTATTTATTACAAATCCATTCACGTTTTCTATAACATAAAGTGTTACTAAAAATACTACATATGTGCCGATTTTTGGAATTAGTCTAAATTAAGATTTTATAAAAATTTTATATTTTAGTAAGATTAACATTACACAAATCTAAATTAAATATGTGTTACATATTTACGTAACTCAGATTTATTAAAAAATAAAAAAAATTTTTTTAATCAATATTCAAAAATAACGGTAATAACCACTTCTTTTTCCCCATCACTCCCATCACTTTTCCATCATTTTTCTATTCACTTTTATTAAATATGACAAAAAAGTTTATAAGCAAATATAGCAGTTATT